CTGCCTGCGTAAGGTCACATTTTTATCCTGATTCACAAAGACCCTTTAAAAGAGTAGCAGGCAGACAGCTGCCAGTGCATGTCAGAAACAGCTCAGGAGCTGGTCTCCCCCAGCATTAGTCCTCCAGGCTCGAGGGGATCTCCAGCCAGTGAGCCAGTGTCAGACCACAGCAGGAGGCTGAGCTCCTGGGAGCTGACTGGGGTCTGCTCACCCCGTCCAGAGTGTCCTCCCTCAGACACGGATCTCTTCTGGGAGCCCAGCACTGACACAGAGGTGGGCTCTAGCAAGACCAAAGTGCTGTGCTAAAGCTCACCCACCCTTCAGTCAACTTTACCTGTTCCTCTCTCTACCTGTCCAGGCTCAGCGAAAAGAGGTAAAGGTCTGTTCTTTCTTTTCTTCTTGCTTTGGGAAACATATATATGCATATTTGTATAGACACATACATTTTTGTAAAGCAGCAACTCATCTAGATGGAAGTTCACGGGACAAGATGAATGTCTGGTGGATAGGTAGATGAGGACTCCTTGCTTTGAAATGAATTGCTGATCCTTTGGGCAAATCCTTTACACTCTCCATGGTTTGGTTCCTCCACCTGTAAAGCAAGGAGAGTGTTTATAGGAGCTGTAATTACATTATCATTCGCAAAGCACTTCTCAGCTACTCAGAGATGTTGCAGAGTTGAGAAGCAGAAGCAGTAGCTGTGAGAGTACCATGCTTTGTTTCCAGTAACATAAAGCTGACAACTAAGCAGGATAAATGGTAATTTCTCCTCAGTGAGATGAAAACCTCTTCCAGGTTTTCTTTCTGAAAACTTTACTGACAAATGAGACTGACACATAGTGACATTTCAAGCCTTGCTGTTTCTTCTTTCTTCTTTTCTCATTCTGTGCTGGTATGGTACTCTGGGCTGGGAAGGGGAAAACATCCACCTATCTGGAATAATCTGGGATTTTTTACTAAATAAGGAACTGTGATTATAAAACTGTTCTCCTCATTCAGGGGCCCTTCATTACATGCTACTCCTGTTCCCTTGGGCCCAGCCTGTCCTTGGGAATTTGCCTCCTGCTGGAGGACGCCTTCAAACTGTCTCCAGAGGTCTAATGTATAACAGAGAACTTCCCTCTCCTGCCTTCTCTTTCAATCATATCCATGCATGGAGATTTTACATAAGTGTTTCACCAGGAAGGAACCATCATCATCCATTGGTGATTTAGAGGAGGCAATAGAGGTGCCTGTCCAGCATGGAACATTATGAAGGATCAGAGTAAGTGCAGTGCTGTGGCCAGGCATCAGAGACAAACTCAACCGCTGCTGGGTGGTGGTTTTTCCTTGAATTTCCCAGTGCAGCAAATCTTATATCCTCCCCAGGCACAGAGTCCTTGGTAATGGCAGGAATACATGAGATATTTTCCCTTCAGAAAATCCCTTTAAGTTCTGACATCTCAGGAGAGCACCTACCTGCATTTGAAGCAGCATTCCAGCAAAGCCAGGTGCTCTGAGAACATCTGTTCTATATGAAGAAGCTCTTTCATATGTGAGCTCTCATCTATACTACTGCATATTTGCAGACCTTCTCCATGCATTGTCTTGGCTTGCTTTTTGTTTGTTTAAATCCCTGACACAGAATGAACCCTCCTTAAATATCCATGGGATCAACGCCGAAAAACTCATCACATAAGCTCTGTTCAGGATTTACCTGGCTTTTGTTTGCAAGGGTGCAGCTCTGATAAGGCAATAAGGCAGGTACAGAAAATAAAATGAAAAAGGGACCTCTTGGCTTATCAGGTTCAATCCCTTTGAATAACAGGCAAGTACAAAACAAATGGTCTTTTCTAAACTTACTAAGCTCTGTCCTAAATCTCATTAGGTTTCCGCCCTAACTTGTGCTACTAGAATGCTGTTCCAGCACCTCCTTCCCTGCTCTGTTGCTTAGAAACCTTCTGATTTCCAACCTAAATTCATTCATGGCCAATTTATATCTATTTATTCTTGTGCCACATTGTCCTTTAGCTTATGCAGCTCTCCTCTCTCCCTAGCACTTACTTTCCCAACCCCCAATTCCTAAAAGTATTTATAGGCAGCAAATCTCTCCTCTCTTAACCTTTGTTCTGCCAGACTGGGTAACTAAGCTCCCTCATAGTATTCACCCTGCAGGCACATCACACCGTGGTTTAATTACTTTGTGTAGCTGCAGTAGCATGAAGTTCAGTGCAAAATAATTAAGGATGCTGAAAAGCTCGAACTGGTGCCACATCTATTTTCAAATCAGCTCAAATGTCTCTCTGCAATCATTTCTGTGACTGATAAGTAAACATACTCTCAGACAAGAGACACCCTCCGTCCCTCTGATCACCCCACCGCCTTTCATTGCACCTGCCTCAGGCTGAACATCCTTCTGGTGTGGGTGAGCAGTGCTGCACACACTATCCTGGAGGAGTCTCACATCCTCTTGGATGTAAAGCCCCTGGCATTAATCTCACTCACCACAACTGGAAATGCTGCTACGTCCTCAGAGCTCACTTGCCTTTTTCACCCCCTCGTAGCATCGCTGGTTCTTCCTCCTTTGGTGACCTTCACCCGAGACTTTCCCCATCTTGGGGAAGATCTCTCTGCTAAGAAATAATCCTGTTACTCTTCAAGCAACAGATTCCTGGTGTGTGACTTTGCACTCTCTCATTGAACCTTACCTTGATCATTCCAGTCACAAAGAGCTCTCCTAGTGCTGGAATCCACCTCTGCCCTGATGATACCTCCCAGCTTTGTTTCATCAGCAGATTTCATTAGCATTTCTACTTTCAGTGCCAAGGTAATTAACAGTAATATTAAAAAAAGATCAGTCTTAAGAGTAATCTTTAGGCAGCCTCACAGATAATTTCCCTTCAGCCTATTAGGGAACCGGTGTCTCAATTCTGTCAGTCTCTTACCCACTTGAGGATTTCTCTATTAATCCCTGTCTTCTTCAGCTGAAGCTTCTCTACTAATTTGCTTCTTCTGGGACACCACATCATACAGCTCACCAAACTCCAAGTAGATAAGGTCCGCTATGTTTCTTTTACCTAGGAGATCAGGAGTCTTAATCCAAGAAACCTCTTTACCTTTGATCAAAAGATGGTACATGTCATTCTTGTTTTCCCTTTACATCCTGCCTTTATTTCTCCTTTCCTTCAAAATCCATTCCCCAGCACCACAAACTGCTGAGATCCACAAGCTGCACATGGCAAGCTGTCAGCTGTTCTCCTCATTCCCACTGTCTGGGGGAGCATTCTCTTCCACTTGCTCTCCTTATTCAAGACATACAAGTTTTGCACAGCAGGCTCTTGGGGAGGGGAGGAAAAATCCTTCTTCCTGGCTTAACAGTGGGAAAACCAGCTGTTTCTCCAGCTGAGGAGCTGGACATGACACCTCTGTTTTCCCTTGAAGAGGGTGCAGTAGAGAAGGGATGACACACTGAGGGGCTGGCTGAGGTATCTGTACAACATCACCTTCCTGGTTTTTGCCTTCTTCCATTTCCTTTCTGTGCATCAAAATCCAAATAGTTACCGGCAGCACAAAAACCAAAAAGTGCTCATAAGAGCTACGTGTGCATGATGCATGTGTGGGACAGAAACCTTCTCCCTCCCTCATGCACTCAGCAGAACTGCTGGATTCAGACATTACCTCTGTGTGCCATTCAGGAACAATACTGGGACAGGAAACACGAAGGAGTGAGCAGGGAGAATCAGACCTGATCACCCTCAGTGTACAGCAAAGTGTCAGCCACACAGGGAGGGGAATGCATTTCAGACAGCTCTCTCACAGGACCTGTCTCTCTGTAGCATGTGAGAAACACTTGACAAGCCTTATCCCTAGCCTATCCCAAAGCCATCTGTGAGCTAGACCTGTATTATTAACACCTTTTTTTGGACACTTCTATGATGAAGTCCTTGACAATTTCACTGGCATAAAATCAACATGACTTTACACAATAATGCTTCATGGAAATTACTCCAGAAAGAAAAAAAACCACCAAAGTGATATTCTCCTTCTGATGAAACTCCATCACTGATATAATACTGCCAGGCAGGAGAGGGAGAAACAACTCCAGAAACATTTCCAGTTTCACAGAAGGCCTTTCAATAGAGTTAGAAATACACCAGGAGGTTACTGAGCTGCTGTGGATATTTACTGTGCACTGCATGTCCTGCATCCTGCGCTAACCACCAGTGAGGATTCAGCCCTCTTGGAAAAGGGTTGCCCTCTTAACTTCAGAATGAGAATGTCCACACAGGACACGCCTCCAGAGGTAGCCTCTGCACAGCACTGTCCCTGTGTAGACTGGCTTTCAATCTTGTGACTAAAGGTGGAACTAAATCAGTGGGAGAAGAATGATTAGATTAGAGAGTTGCCAGCACTGTGTGTTTTAGTCCCTGGACTGCTTTCGTGTCACGATCTGCATTCGCTGATGCATAGGGACCACTGGGCAGTTATGTTCTGGGTGGGAGATATCCAGCCTAGGAAGGATTCCTGGAGGGATACCTGCCAAAGCCTGTGTGCAGCGAGCCAGGTCTCAGATTAGCAGAGTTTTTGTGCAAACCTCACTCTCCTGCCACTGGTTCTTTGAGACCAGCCTTTATCAAAGCCACGAGGCATCTCTGATTCTCCGTCCTCGCGGGGGCATTCCCAGTCTGCAGGAATCAGAGGCTCAGCTTCACACATACATGAAATACAACACCTTCAGACACTTGATATGTCAAAAGCAGTTTTAAGAAAGGCCCAAATGCTTGTGCATCTGACTGTGTGTGGAGGGAGGTGGTGGTGGGGTGGCATTAAAAAAATAAACTCTCTTGACAGGCAGGTTATTCTCTATTTATCAGTAAGGGGGCATGTAAAACTCCCCTGGGGAGCATTTGGTGCCCTTTGGGACACGGCTGCAGCTGTGCTGGACCCCTGGTCCGAGCCAGCAGAGCAAGTTCTGTGTTCTTTGAAGACGTGGAAGACCCTGCCCTACACAAACTCTGCTTTTTTTCCAGATTAAGCTTGAACAAGTCAGAAAAATGTCCTTCGTCAGTATCTTGCATGGAAAAAGCTTTTCAGGGTCTGGCTGGTGTAACTGTGGGGCAACCCTGTCTCTTTTGGTTTAGGGAAGGCTTAGACCATAGTATGTTATCTGCGGGAGGACGTGTGAAGGAACAGTAGTAGCAGCAACTGGAAGGGACTGTGCGAAGCCGGCAGCGAATGCATCCTGTCGGCATGGGGAGGGTGGCATGGGGAGAGGCTGAGAATGGAGAGGGAGGAATGAGATCCATGGTCTTTAAAGGAAAAACAACGGGAAAGCAGGTTTGAAAATAGAAAGATTAAGCTGGAGGGGGTGGGAGAGACGAGAAAAGTAGGTGAAGAAAGAAGAGGGGGAAAGGCAGAGAGGCTGTGGGGAAGACAGAAAGTGACACAGAAAGGGGGTGGAGAAAAAGAGAGGAAGAGAGAGAGAACCACATTAAAGGAATAAAACGAAGCAACTGAGAAGAACAAGGAGCCCAACTTAACTACAAAAAGGGAAAGTGTTAAAGCAAGGGAAGGAGACTGAAGACAAGATACTGGAAATCAGGTAAGTAACCAGGAGGGGGAAATAATAGAACTGCAGAAGTGTCGATGGCAGATCAAGTTATTAAACTCAAGGGGAAAGCAGCGCAAGGGAAGAGATGGATTTGGAGAGGCAGGAAAAGAAGGATGGCCAAAAATAACTTAAGAAACTTACTTTTCTTTTAATTTTCTCTTCAAAACATTCCCACTAGTAGCTAGATTTGGGACATTTAAAAAATTAAACTGTTTTTGCCACAGGCAGCTACAGAAATTATGAGTAACTTCCCTGTGATGAACACGGATACCAATAGATTTCAATGTACAGGAAAACAGCATAAGAGCCCCAAATATCCTCAGACAAATTGCAGTTTCTGTCAGATCCCATTTCAGCATGCTGTCAACCTGCTCAGGGGACGGTGGTGAAGGGAACTCTTACCTATGAGAGGCTCTCAGGGTATGAACACTTTATCAAGTGTCTGCGTGAGCCGCCCGTATTCTGAAGCACAGGATGGTGTCAAAATGTTGCCGTTTCTTTTGCTTGAGGATACTGTGTCCTGGCTGGTCTGTGACACCGAGTCTGGGAATGTAACTCAAATGTAGAGAAGTGCCTTTGCTCGTATCTCCCAGCCACCCGTACCGCGCGCGCAGCGAGGGAATGCCTTTCTTCTCCATCCCGACACTGCCCATGGCAGCCTCAGCAAAGAGGCACGCAGACCTAAAGGGACAGATGTCCTCTCCCACACTAGCAGCTGCTGCTTCTTTTTATTTGCCTTCCTAACTTTTTTCCCTCCCTTTTTGTACTTGGAGTAATTATTCAATTACATTTCCATGATTTAGCACTGCTAGCGTGTCCACCGAAGATTTCAAAGAACAGCCCAGCTTGAAAATATGGTACCTATACACCCACTTAGAAAGAAGCAACCTCAATTACTGCAAAGGTTGCCTGCTAAATGCCTCTTCTGATTGTGGTGGCTCCTTTGATTTCCTAAAGGGTCGTTTGACTGCCCATTTGTCATGTATTTTGTAGCTTTGTGGCACTCTGGTTTTAACATCTCAGGTAAACTGAGGCAGTGCCTCTGTCCCCAAAGTACTGTAAAAAATCTTTAGAGGACCATATAAGTGGCTTTTCTGGACAAACCTCAGCTAAAAAAGTCAGGGGCTGCATGAGCCTTAAGCATTGAACTCTTTTTTGTGCTAATAAACCCATCAAAATTCCTTGGTGAAGCAGCGTGTGTGAGAGTTTTTCCCTGCTGCTGTCTATGTGATCCTCTGTTTAAAGAACTTAATGCATGTAACATATGTGTGCATGTGTGTGTGCAGCTAGGAGTGGGTTAAACAGCTATTCAGAAGCCTCATAGGCTAAAAAACTCTGCATTTCCTGCTATTTTTCAAAATCTACTCTGAGAAGAGCACACATTTCTAACTTTGTTCCCCCTTTCCTTGGGAGCAGAACAGTAGTTTAGGAGAATTCCTGAGGCTTCAGGGTTTAAAATACTCATCAGGCTCCCGGTCGCTTGGGAACTATGTTAAGTATTCCTGTTACTATAACTATTTGGGGTTGTTGGTTTTTTTCCACTCAACACTATGTAGTATCACAATATTTTAGTATTATGGGCATTAAAAATTTAAACCTTGACAGGAAAACACAGAACTTCATACCTCAGCCCCTCTTCTCTCTTTGACCTTCAGGCAGATTTCACGCGTTCCGAACGTTTGCCCGTTTTTCTGACTTATCTTCCAGCATTGAAAACAGACAAGTAGGAATGAGTAATTCAGCACTATTCAGGTCATTAGGGAGCACATTTCAGAGGCTGCTCCACACATCGGGGGCTGTTGCACGAGGCACGAGGGCAGAGGCTTAAAATTAGAAATAGTTCCCAGGAGGCATCAGAGATTCTTCAGTCTTTGGGCTAAGGATTCATAAAGGGGGGGCATGTGGGAATCAATTTTACTGCTATCGATAAGCAAACCAGAAATCTCTATGGACAATACTCAGCTCTTCCCTGAAACAAAGGAATATTCATGCCATGCAGTACATAATGAGCAGAGAGATGCATCTTCAAAGGGAGGTCAGGGGGTTTTAACGTAAGAACTAAGGGATTTACACTTACGTTTCCATCTTTCTTCATTTTTTATGTCACTGCGGACATGCCTTGAGAATGGTTGAGAATTTCCACATGGAACTCCTCTCCCTCAGAATCAGAAAAGCTGAGGGATGCTTTGGTCAGGGCACAGGGGCGCTCAGGAAGCGAAGCAGCCTGGCAAGGGTGAGCGCTGCAGAGTCCAGGGTCTCCAGATGCATTCAGGTGTCTGCTGAAGAAGGGAGGGAATAGTGGGATGGGAGAAAAACTGTCTCCAGTTTATAATCAGATAAAGCTACCCAAGAGGACTGGGGTTAATTCTTGCTTCTTACTACAGTTTCCTCTGTCACGATGAGTCAAATCACTTAAGCTACACCAATGTGCCCTCAGTGGTTTCTCCTGACTTCTGGATATCTGACTTCTAGATGTGGTGCAACTGGTGGAAGTGATAAACTCTCCCACTCCAGCATAAACCAGACAGAGCTCTGCTTTGAATACACATTATATAGTGCTAAGTACATTGAAAAGAAAAAACAGGCTAGCAATATCACCAAACAGCTTCCAAAACTAATGAACAGTTTTTATCTTAATCTCTCACTGCCTTAGTTCCTCAGCTGTAAAGTAGATCTAATACCATCTCCTCACCTCTGGGTGGTAATGAAAATAAGTAGATTTATATTTGTGAAGCAATCAGATACTGTTGTGCTGAAAGCCATAGGAAAACCCATGAGGAAACTAATAATTCTGTCTTTAGAACTGGACTTGAATAATGTACAGTAAATGAGGCACAGGCCACCCACTGAACAATGAGGAGAAAAACAAAACATTGAATAGCTGCTGTTCAAGAAAGCCCCAGTCAGGCTGGCACAGAACAAGGCAAGCATCCTGTGCAAAGAATGAGGTGACAATGTGAGGATGTGGTTAAAGACTCTGTAGCTAAGAGGCACAGGCAGAAAGAGATTGAATTAAGATTACTGAGAACAGTAACCCTGCATTTCCTAACTCCCTACTGCTGGGCTTTGCCAATTTAATATTAGTTAGTTTCAAAGGTTGTGTGTATGTGTGTGCATATATACACATATATATATATATACAAAAAATAATCCACTCACAAGCTATAGTGAGACTTCACCCTGAAAGTGAAATTAAATATTTGAGGCAAGGATACAGCAATGAGGCTGGAGTGTGAAAGGAACCCTACAGATTTTTGGAAAGAAGGAAGAAATGAGATTTGACAAGGTAGTAATAAGTGGAAAATAGATAGTCACTGAAAAATTCCCCTTTCTGAGGCTTGAAAGCGTTAGCAACTTGGGTGCTGAAGAGAGTTAGCTGGTCAAAACTGCCAAAAAACTGAGGCAAGGCTCTCCGGGGGGAAGCTTGACTGTAAGAGAGCAATGGAGAACTGACAGACAGGGTCTCTCACTGGGGTGAGAGGAAGGAAGGAAGAAAGGATGGGAAAAGTCTGAATGAGAGCTCTCTCCTTCTCCTACTACCTCTCCGGTCTGTTTTATTTCAACACTATAACAAGTTGCATCTCACGCAGTCCCTGAACCAGCCTAAATTCACATGGGCAGGTTTCACTGCTGCCACGTTGCACCCAATGTGATGCCTGCCATCACTGCACATCTCATTGTACCACCGACTAAGCAGTGCTTGAGATCAGCTCCTCTCAGCAGAGCTCAGGAACAGCTTTACTACAGCAGCCCCCAAGTTTCTCAGCGTGTTTCTCTTTTCCAGAGCTCCCTATGTCCTGTTTTGCTGTCCCCTCACCTGCCCAATTTAGCATGATCTGCAAATTCATATAGGTTTGCTTCTCTCTGCAAACATAAAGACACTGGAAAGAGCACCAAGTTTGCAGCATTTACATTAGAGAGAGAATTTATGAGGTATTTTTCTAGCAAAAAGCACATTTAGCTTATCCCAAGTCCAGTTTTGTCATATTTGTTGGGGTCTCTAAGGCCCCACATTTCTCTAAGGCAAAGAGAGAGAATCCCAAGAGAATCAGAAGGTGCTCTCTGCATGCTCAGTGTAAGCCTGGATACCACTATCATGTAACTATTTGATACAGGCTTTTCAAAGACAGTGGGATAGATTCATTCCTCAGCTTGACTCAACTGAGTTCAAGGTCTTTTCTGTTCTTGGTCTCCTGTGACTTCATCAGGCAGAGCCTGGCCCTAATATTTGGATATATGAAAGCACAGTGGGGGAGTAGCATTAGATGTCCTGGATAGACAACTAATAAAAATTGAACTGACCGGGAGCCTGCAGCTTCCACCACCACTTGAGATGAAAATATTCTACATATTATTATCATCTGTGTGTGTAACACATCCCTGATGTACACACGTGAAGGTGATGAGTGACTTCCCCGTGCCTGTGTCCCTGTGTGCGTCAGGGTTGTGTGTGGGAGGTGACAGGTCACTCAGCTCCCTTATCTTCTCACCCACTCTCTTTTTTGTGAACTCCGAGATTTTCCACATTTGGAGAGGAGGGGGAAAGCACACCTCGTCAGGGAATAACAAGCTGTCTGCAGCTACAAGTAGGGCCAGTGGTCTGGATACCGGTGTGACCCTCCCAGAAATTGCAGTGAACTCGGGAGGAGCAGAAAGATAAGCAAAGTTGGATGTCTGTCCTCTAGGACAGGAGCTGTTAACACAGAGCTGTTCCTCTCCAGTGAGATTCAAGCACTGGGGTCAAAGTCACTCTCCCTGATACTGGTTCAGCACAGGACTTTGAACCCAAGGAACTAGAAAGGAACCTATCCAGACATGTCTTTTTTTTCTTTTTCTTTTAAAAGCATAAATAAGTGCAGAACTACTTAGTCCAGATTAATGTGCAGATAAAATTTGGCTAAAGAACTGGCCTATTTCAGGCAGACACTTACGATAAGCACATGCATGAATATATGAAGCCAGAGGGATGGTACTTGAACAAAAATGCCTAA